GACGGGGGGGGGTGGGGAGGGTCTACTCAATTTTAGAGATGATAGTTTTGCAATTTAGGGGTGAATGTATCCAGGCGGGAATATTTCACACGAAAAAATTAGAGGGAAGATGAAAATTGGGTTTTAATTGTCAGGACTAACTTTTTCTGACCATTACTTTGAATTGCCAGTAAGAAGCACTCTTTCCTGGCAAAAGTTTAATTACCGCAAATATTTGTATTTACAGAATAAATTAGCGGCAAATAGTTTACTGTTGCAAAATAATTGCTGCCAAAAGTGTATTTTGTTGTAGTGTATATAATGGGATACTCATTAATACTAATTTGTATATAATTGGTAAATTGTATATCAGCTTGTAATTAAGTTAAAAACCTAAAAAGTTAGGGTAAATAAGTTTCTAATGTAGTACATATAGGTGAAAATCCCAAAAGAAAACAGTGAAAGTAGCCGGCTATTTCACTAGATGGGCTTCCAAATGGGATGGGCTTGAAGAACTACTAAAGCCCACTGGACAAAAATATTAGGAAATAAACCCAGAGAGCTAGCCCAAACTCCACAGAGCCCAGAATAATCTCAAATTTCTGTGTGGTCTAAAGATGATGTTCCATGATCCATCTCTTTCTACACTCGACCAACAAATTCTTTCAAGAAGAAGAAGAGGAAGAACAAAATGCTAAAACTAATGTTGGCTTGCTGTAAAGTTTACATATCAGAAAGCAGAAACAGGGCAGCTCTTGAATCAATTGAAAAAGCTGCCAAGTTATTTCCAGAGGCTCCAATTGTGAACAAATTTGAAGATGAGATTTACAACAGAGTTGGTTACACCCTTGTCTCCAAATTATCGTCAACTGGGTCTTGTCAATTAAAGAATGCATCATTTGCAATGGTCAAAGCCGCATTAGAGACAATTGATCTTCAACAGCATTGTGGAACTCATCCTAGGCTTGGTGTTGTGGACCATGTTTGTTTTCACCCATTGGCTATCACTTCTTTGGAGTTAGTTGCTTCCACTGCTAAGTCTTTGGCATTTGAAATTGGTTCTAATCTTCAAGGTTTGTCTTTTCTTTTCTTTTCTTTTCTTTTCTTTTTAGTGATTGAATTTTGGTATTTGCATTAATGGAAACGCTAATTGTATCTTTGGTTGATACATTTCTATCTCCGCTTCTAATATTATAACCAATCTTAGCACCTTTAGTCATAATATTTTGTGCTTAATATGATAGCGAGCATTTGAAAATTCAATGGTTTGATTTGGCACCATGAATAACTATAGTCAATTATAAGGCTTGTTGTTTCTTTAATGTAGCTAAATGTTTATATATTAGAAAGGAATTGATCCTCTTGCTATTTCTTGTTCATTCATTTAACTTGAAGAAACGGATGTTTGTTTCGCAATAAGAGTTGTATTGGCTATTTCAATTTTTATGTGGTCTATCGTTAACTAATTTGTTTGAAGGCTGCTAAAAAAGACGGCAATTCTAACAAAAAAATGATACTTTTTGGTAGGAATTTGAAAAATAAATAAATTATTATATACAAATTGAGCATAACTTTTAAAGCACTGAATATTGAAGGGGTTAGTCAATTTAATCAACCTCCACTCTTGACTAATATGTGCTGCTATGGATTTGAAATCAGCTTGTTGAGTGGTATAAAGATCTTACTTTTGGAGGAGGCACATGAAAAAAAGCTACCATTGGAATGGGATTAGGTGCAATATTTGGTGGTTGGTTGCTCTATAGCGGACTATTCTGCTTTTAGCGAATAACAATACTGCATTAGTTATTGTCCATATGATGCAACGAAGCTACCTCACTACCTTCCCTGTCACATTCATCATAGAATAACTTGTTCTTAGTACCTTTCCAAAAGGTAATCGGCAAGTTTAATACAATCACTTTGTATCGATCAATACTTCCCAAGGCTTATTTTGTCTCTTTTCCAGTACCTCTCTTTTAAGATGTGACCTACTAGTGTAAGGAAGCGTATCTGATATGTATGGTTCTGTTTAGTTATTCCATCATTAGTTCCATTATTGGAACTTCAATCAAACCACAGAAATCGTCGTGTGAGATCACATGCAGAGCTCTACATAAGCTTAGGATCTAGTAGAAAGGTATTCCTTATCAAAAGAAAAAAAAATACAAGTAGACGAGGTACCTGGACATCTGTGGATAGCTGCCCTTAATGGATCAATTTATTCAACAAAATCGATATGTTTAACACGAGCCCTTTCTTGTTTCATACTCCTCGAAAGAGCTTTTATAAAGCTAGGTTTTATCTAGATCGTAGTAATAACCTCTCATACGTTCTATCACTGCCTTTAGCTAAGTGCTGCTTAAAGTGTTTGAAACTAGTAGCTAGTGTCTTCTAATATTACATGCAGAGACCTACACAAACTTGAGATCTAGTAGATATGGTATTTCAACCAGCTTTGTTGGATCAAATCATTCCACAGAAGCTGTTGCTTAAGACAAGATTTTTATTTTTGTATCTCCTGGAGAAGAGCTGATATTAAGCGAGACTTTAGTAAATTGTAGAAATAACCTCTAAAACCTCCTATCATAGTCTTCAATTAAGTGGTGCATAAGGTCTTTGGAACTTATTATAACTTTGTGTCTTCATTGCATTCTACTATTTGCCAATAAATCCATATCGTGGTAATAGGATAAGCTGTGTCTTATATTGTGAAAATTGTTGCTGCTCTGTAAATTTGAAATGTTATTAAGTGGTCTTAAACGTAGACTGCAGTCCCAACGTTCTTATACGGAGCAGCACATCAAGAGGGAAGGTTGCTTGATTCAATCAGAAGGGAGTTGGGATATTTCCATCCTAATTCAAGTGAGAACCAGTGGGCTGGTGGGCCAAAATCGCAGACTTTGCAACTAAAGCCAGATGAGGGTCCTTCCCGAGCAACTCAAGCAAAAGGTGTAATTACGATTGGTGCTACCAGGTGGGTTGACAACTATAACATTCCCGTCTTCACCAATGACATATCCATTGTTCGTAAAATTGCAAAGAGAGTCAGTGGAAGGGGAGGTGGACTTCCGTCAGTGCAATCCATGGCACTAACTCACGGAGGTGGCACAATTGAGGTTGCTTGCAACTTACTGGAACCAGCTAGGATTGGTGGTGACCAAGTACAGCTTGAAGTTGAGCGGCTTGCTAGGGAAGAGGGTATTGCTGTCGGAAAGGGATATTATACAGATTTCTCGGAAGAAAAAATAATTGAAAGCTACTTGAAACTAGTTCAACATTCTGACCAGATAAGCTAGAGGAAAAAATTATTCTATCTCTATTCCTTTTTTCCTTCACTCTTTTCGCGTATTTGGCTGAGATTTTCAAGGCCTCTTGACTTTGAGCTCCAAAGGTAAGCAATATCTGTTAAAGGGTAAAATGCTCCGACTCATTTACATTTTTTTATAGCACATAATATCGTGATCTTACTGCATTTCTTGAACATTGTTATTTAATATCCAACTTTTGTCACCCTAATGCTCAACGTTCTCTACAAATGATTCTCTCCATATACATAGAGAGAGCTGTCTTGAAAACTGGATGCCAATGATCACAAATTGAAGGGCAGGGGCGGAGCTAGCGTCGAACCCAGTACCTTTGGTTCAAACCCTATATTTGTCCTGAAAAATATATTGAATATGTATAAATTATTAATTTGGAACCCAATAACTTAAACGGAGTGTAATACCAAATTCATAAGGTTTAAATGCTGGCTCCGCCTCTGTTGAAGGGTACATAGATTTTTTTTTTCCTTTTCATTTAATGTGGTTGATCAGGAATAGGGCATGTGCAAAGGTATAAGACAAGAGATGTTTCTTAATTCCATAGCATGGAAAAGTTGAGGTTTTGTAATAGAAAATAAGTTTGTGATAAAGCTAGAATACCAAATAGTAGTAATAGATAAGATTAATTTGTTATTTTGTGGTTAGTCCTTGTCATTGCCTTAGCATAGCTACTCATTTGTTTCTTCTTGTACTCTTGTACAGTACCATGGTCTGTTCTTGACAACTGAACTTGTAGCTCCAATTCTTCCAAAATAGTACTGTAGTATCGTTTATCAAGATACTGATATGATGATTTTTTTCCAGCACCCCCCAAAAAAGGAAAAAGAAAACAACTGTACCATTGCCCTGGGGGAGCTGGCATTGGGAATTTGGGATAGGGTGGGTGAGGAGGATAACTTTATTGTGTAATCATTGAATTCAAAAGACTATAATTTAAGTTAATGGATTACCATTTATTCAAAACAAACAAGATCTTCAATTTAGTGCCTTTTGCTTATGCTAGCGTTTCACATGTTTTTGTTTGTATCCAATTATTTGAAACCGAGGCTGGCCCATTTCAATCATCCATTTCATAATAAAACTGTTGCTTGAATATATATATATATATATATATATATATATATATATATATATCAACATTTTTAAAGGAATCGGCAGCTGATTGCAGAATTTCGGCAAACGCGGCAGTTCAATAGTAGATTGTGTTATACTCTGATTTTAGTTTGAGAAGCAATTAAGCTTTGCCAAATGTCAAAAGGATTATTTTTTTTTTTTAAATTAGAGAGGGGATTGACAAAAACGTTCTAATCCAGCAAAGAGTATTTCTTTTTTGTTAAATGATCGAATAATAATCAAGAAGATATGAGAAGAATGTTTAAACAATGATAGAAATCAAAACAGTCAGTTTCGTGTGAGGCTAAAAAATACTTGCTGATATTAAAGTAAGCAATATTGACCGTAGCATGTGTCATGTGTCGGTTTTTTAATATTTGTGAAAGCGGTTTTCTTTCTTCTGTTGTTTAGCTTTTGGATTAGGCTAATGGACTATTTTAAGAAAATTTGGTATTGCTTACTTAGTAGGTGGGTCGGGATGGTCAAGTTGTTTCCTTGTAACTTATAAATGACGGGTTCGAACCGTGAAATTAACTACTGATGCTTGCATGAGAGTTACTGTGCATTCCTAAATCATGCGGAAACATGGGATACTTCATGGATGGGACTGCCTTTAACTTAATAGGTTGATTAGGAATTTCATTGTGGGGACATTTGATTTGTAATGTGTCAGCATCATTGCTGAGTCAATCAAACCAATAGATACAAGCTAAAGCTTCCTATACTATATATAACACCTTCCCCCCTTTCCATTCATCATCTTCAAGAAACTATTCATCAACAAAATACAAATTAAGATAGAAGAAAATCTCAATTGAAAAAAGATGGATTCCAACTCAATCTCCAAGGTAAGGACTACTCTTCTCTACCCCTTTTCCTCAATTGTTCTTTTTTCTCCATTGAAGTTATGCACATTATTTGAACCTTTGGTTTCCAACTTCTAACATTGTTGAAAATTTCTAATTTTTCTTGCTACTTTTCTTCTTTCACTTGGACTAAATCAGCTGTTAATGTCTTTATTTTCTTTCTTAGTGTTTTATTATTTTGCCTTTCCTTTGGTCTGATCAGTTCATAATGTTCTTCAACTTGGGACTATGAATTATGACATGAGTACTAATCCAATTTATGTAGAGAAGGGGTGCTGCCTTTTTCTTGTGGGTCATCTGTGTTCTTGTTTTCTAATTTTCCTTGATATGTACAGTAATCTTTCTCTTTTCTTGATTAAAAAATCTCTCTATATATCTTTTTCATTCTTTTATTTTTTATTTTTTTCAAACCATTCCGACTCATTTCCCATGGCACACTCTATTTTGTTAACTAAAGGATAAGATTTCTTTGGCTATTTACACTAGGAAAAGCCAAATTTTACAAAGTATATTTATATTTTTGTTTTCTTTTTTCTACTTATGCATGCAAATTATTTAAGAGGGGAAAGAAGGGAGGAGACGGAAATAGATATGCAACAGTGAAGTGACACCGACCACCCAACACGTGTCCTCCTTTCTAGTACTATCTTAGTCAGACACGTGATTCTCGTTTGTCTGAACCTTTAACATTTGGGCTTCAAATCGGGCCGAGTGAATGATCCACAAAAACGGGAGAAGTGCACCAATAGCCATTTTTAAACCCGCTATTGAAAATATATCCATTATAATATATTTAAAGATTAGTTAATTCACCCAAACTTCAGGACTAAGTATCTTGAATTTGGAAATTAAGGACTTAGAGTCCTGAATTTATGAGCTGCTAATTTGAAATTCAGGACTTAGTGTCATGAATTTAGGAGTTGCTCATTTGAAATTCAGGACATAAGATTGGAACTTCTTGACACAATTTTCGAACTTTAGGACACGATGACCTGAAGTTTGAACTTTGAGGTTTAAACTCTAGGACACCGTCTCCTGAAGTTTGAGCGAAATTGGCTAATCTTTAAATACATTGTAAACTTTGGATATATTTTAAACAGGGTGTTTAAAAGTGGATACATGGTGTTATTTCCACCACAAAAATGGGCTTGGACCCATTGCTTTTGTGGAGAAAATGGGTGTATCTACAAGAATGGCCTTGCAAGTGCGTGGTCTTGAACTTTTGACCCCGCTTACCCTATGGGCAAAACTTCAAGTTTAATTAATTTTGACTTTGACCTTGAAGATTTGCCCACTGGCTAACAGGGGCAAAAATAAGACCACCTTTTTCCAAAGTCATTTGCATGCAATTTCCTCGGAAATTTTTTTTGTGTTCTCCATAACAAATTAGCTTACTAGACGATAAAGTTTAAGCCGTCACATTCTATGTTATACAGATTAATCTTTTAAGTTTTAAACTTTAGATATTTAGAAATTACACGAAAAGTATTATAGGTAACAAATTTGAATAAACTTCTCATTTTTCCATTATTGTGCACAATGGCATGACATATAGTTCTAAAATACAAAAAGAAATCTTGAGTTTCAAACATTTTCCTGGAAGCACCATATAATCTTGAATTGATAGTAGTGTGTCATTATTTGCTAGGACAAGAAGAAAAATGTAATGCAATCAATGCTGCTATGCTGCAAGCTCTATATATCCGAATCACGCAACAAAGAAGCTCTTGAACCCATTGAGCGCGCTGCCAAACTTGATCAAGAAACAGTCATTATTAACAAATTTCAGGATCGTGATTACAATCGTGTGAACTATACTCTTGTATCATATGTTATTCATGACAGCACAGGCTGCCCTATTTACAGCCCCTTGCATCAAACTGTGGTGGCCATGGTTTCTGCTGCCTATGACGCCATAAACCTTGAGCAGCACTCGGGTGCTCATCCTCGCCTTGGTGTCGTGGATGACATTCTCATTCATCCACTGGCGCGAGCTTCACTGGATGAAGCTGCTTGGCTTGCTAAAAAGGTCGCAGCTGATATTGGAAACCGGTTTCAAGGTCAGTACAAAATTTGTTACTTTAGATGGCCTTTGCTTTATCAAATTATATGCTATACTTGAAAATGCAAATGAATAACTGGATCGAAGGCAGGACAGGTTTTGTGAGTTCAACTGAACCTATTGCTTTAGGCTCAAAATATGTATACATTTAATAAGATCACACTCATTGGAACCAACTGACTTTAAATCCTTGATTTACATTTGGATTCAGTACCTGTTTATTTATATGCTGCTGCTCACCCAATGGGGAAAGCTTTGGACACAATCAGGAGGGAGCTAGGCTATTATCGGCCTAACTTCAGGGGCATCCAATGGGCAGGATGGGCTCAACCGGAGCAGGTCCCGGTCAAACCCGATGAAGGTCCAGAAGTGGTGTCTCGAGCTAGAGGTGTCGTGATGATTGGAGCTCATCAATGGGTAGCCATGTACAACATTCCAATCATGTCGACTGATCTCTCAGTTGCTAGACGGATTGCTCAGAGGGTGAGTGCTCGAGGTGGAGGCCTACCCACCGTGCAAACTTTAGGCCTGTTTCATGGCGAGGACTCAACCGAGATAGCTTGTATTCTGCTGGAACCAAACCAAATTGGAGCTGATCGCGTACAGAACCATGTTGAGACCCTGGCATCTCAAGAAGGCTTGGATACAGAGAAGGGGTATTTTACTGATTTGTCTCCTGAAATGATCATTGAAAGATACATGAAATTAATTTCTAACTCGGCCTGATTTATCTGTATAAGCTGTGGATAAACTTACTCACTCTTGCTTTAAGCTTGTGTCAATAAGGGACCCAATCTTTTTCTTTCATTCAAGATGTCTGAAAGCGCATTTTGGCATATCACATGCTTTCTGATGTAATGAAACACTGCAAATTTAAATAGTCACTTTCTAATGGTTAATTATCAGTATTATGACTGTAAGATTTTAAGGTGAGATTTGCATGCCTAAGCAAGAGTCATGCCGGTACTTCACAACTTTTTACCATCCAAAGCTGGAAACTAACTGTTAATGTGTGTCCTAATCTGCAAAATAACTGTTAATACTCACACTTGAGCATTGTAAAACGGAATGTAGGACCAGTGCCGGATCTAGAGTACAATCTATGGGTTTGCACGAA